CACTAACGACAAGTAAAAGTACGTTTAAGCTTCATTGAGATACTTCTGTCCAAAAAACGTCAGAAATTACCATTTTGTTGTGCGATTTCCCAAAAAACAGAACACCAGAAAAGAAAACGTTTGCTACCGAAAATGATCACCTCAACAAGTAGTATCTATGGTAAAATTTTCAGATTTCAATCATTTCAAATAGTGGAATTATGGATGACCTGGCACACCGGTAACATCTCTCTACAAGTCTTACCTACCTTTGGATCCCTTACGAAGCTTTAAAATTTTTTTGAACTTACGATTATTCTATAATGTCCAAACCGTATAAGCTCAGAAAATTTGACTTCATTGGGAAGAAGTGAATGCAAATCCTGGGGTACTGTCCTAATAATTCCCTTATGTGAAGAGTTGTTCCGAAAAAGCAACCTGGATCTCCGTACTTTGACCTTCCAAAACTTTTTAATTATAACCTCCGACCGTTTTCAGCTATGCTCCGTCTAACTGGAATATCAAAAGCGCGAAAAAAAAATTTCCCAAAAGTGGTAGAAACCTGGAGGATTTACCCATATATACATTTACTTTCAATTAGATATGTTACCTTTTCCCCGGAAGAAACATCTATTGATAAATCTTTGAGTACTAATGGTAGATTATCCCTATATCGTACTGATAAATTCATAATTCTAGAAAATATAAATTCCTAGTTATTAAACATTTATTTAACAATCAATTTACCGAATATTTCCATTCATCGGCCAATAAGGTGATGGTGTTTTTTCAGAAATTTGCCATGGAGCCTCCGGTGTTAATTGAGCATATTCATTAATACGTTCGACACTAACAATATCAGTTTCAATTTTACTTGAGGTTTGCATAAGTAGATTAAGAGAAATAGTAAGTTGAATAGCACATGTCATCATTAAACCGACAGTACCAGCTGTTAAACGGTCGCGTAAAAGTGCAGCAGTAAGAGTTATCAAGAATATAAATAAAGTTGCAATCAGTTCTAGATAAATTCCAAGCCAACTAATGATTCATGAAAAATAAAATGAATGCGTAGTTTATGCTGAATAAGGCATACCTGTTAGCAACACCACTAGCTAAATGACAGGACTGATTCCTGTCCAGGAAGGTATCGGATGAATCAATAAAACGCTTTTCTGCATGATATGCACGAATCGATCTGAGACCCTGAATTGTTTCAGTAAAATTCGTAAAAATGGAACTACGTGATACCGAATCAAGACGACGGAGTTGACGAGAAGATGATATATACACACGCTTTAAAATTAATATAAAAATATTGGGAATTTTAAGTAAGAAAAGTTCTACCTGCATGGAAACGAAAATAATAGCGAGTAGCATGAACTCAACAATAGCAACCCATGTGCCATAGAAAAGTATAATTAATGTTGTAACAACTCCAATAAGTGTATTTAGTGATATAGAAAAGGCTTGGGGTAACATTGAATCAACTGATTCAATATCTTGAGCAAAACGATTAATTATACGACCGACTGGTGTTGTATCGAAGAAAGTCACTGGGGCATGAAGAATTCCAATTAGAATAATACAATGTAATTTTCGACTGGCAAAATATGAAGCAAGCCGTTGAGTTAATTGCATTGCAAAAGTTAGGATACCTGAAAATTTATTTTTAAACGTGAATAAAAAACAAAATGCTTTGATACCTTGAGTAATTCCCAATGTGGAATATATACTCATATAATAAATTTGACCATGTTGTGATGATGTATTATTTATTGAGATTTCTGTTTTCATTTGATCTGCCCATTTGGCTAACCAAATATATGTATTGAAGGCGGTGCATATTGTTAAACACAAGAAAGATATCACTAATATAAACATTAGTCTTCCACAGGAACGTATATAAGTTGAAAAAATGCTAAACTTTACCTACAACATTTCAATCATAGAGAAAACAGTGTTTCAAAGTTGAAGCTTACTGATCCTGTCTGCACTGTCTCTTTTTGAATGATATTCTTCTTGTTTTCTTCTATTTCGGTCAGTATTGATTTTAATTCATGTTGTTCAATAATTTCTTCTGTACCTTCAAGTGGATTGGATACCAATTCTAATGGGGTCGTTGGAACACTTCTTGAAGTTTCTAAAACGATAAAAGAATTCAGTGGATAATGATTAACATAAGCTACAAGATATGCCAAAGGGGCTGGGTGAATTTTCTTCTCCTGGAGAAGTGTTTTTATTTTTACCTAAATCATTTCCTCGATGTTGACTGCGTTCAGCATTAGAAGTATCAATTGAATGAAGGAAATCTTGTAAAATCTTGCTTCTCAACATTAGATCATTAAAAGATCCATGATCAACGATTTCGCCTTCCGAAACAATCATAATATCATTACATTTTTGTAAATGAGATACACCATGTGTAACCAAAAGACGAGTCTAATTTAATTAAATTATATATTATAAAATGTAAATCTATTTTCATACTTTGCCGTTTAATAATCCTTTAGGTCCAATAACACTTTTAAAAATATGAGTGCCAACATGCGCATCAACAGCTGAAAGTGAATCATCAAGAAGATAGATATCGGCGTTGCTATACAACGCTCGAGCTAATGAAACTCGTTGTCGTTGTCCACCAGATAGATTGATACCCTAAATAATCAATTTCAAATCGAACTCATTTTAATCAAGTAAAATACCTTTTCACCAATCTCAGTTTGATCACGTGCTGGAAGCATGTCTAAACAAAACATAAGTTTATATCTTTTTTGCTATACACAATCTGCATCTTACCAAGATCCTGGTTTAGAGCGCACGCATCAATAATCTGATTATATAAATTTATATCAAAATCTCTTCCGAAAAGAATATTTTCTCTTAATGTTGTATTCATAATCCATGCTGTCTGTGGTACATAAGCAATATTTCCATTGATACTCACACACCCATGAACTTTATTCATTTCACCCAGTAGTGCTGCTAATATACTACTTTTCCCTGAACCAACCATTCCAACTAATGCAATAAGTGAACCTCGTTCAATGTGAATATTTATACTTAAAATGAAAATATTAGTGAAGCTACGCAATACATATTAGACTAACTTTTTTAAAACTAAAGGATCACCAGGAAGATTGGACCAACGAAAAGAGCCATTTTCAATTTTTACGGAGTATTCGACTTGAAAGTTCTGAATTTAAGCAATTTTTTCTATCAATCATTTGTTGACTTACTAGAATCGTCAGATATCCTATCCACAGCATTTGAATCGATTTCCTCATTGTTCAGAAATTTTTCAAGTCGTTTATTTGATACAAGTGCCTAAAAAGAGAAGTATTAAAAGTGAAACGAAGGATATTTGCGTTTACGTCCACAGTATTGTTAAGAACATTAGTAAAAGAATTAAGTATAGGACGAAGCAGACTAAATAATGCCAATGATACAAATGCTTTTTCTGCTGTTAAAGCATTGCTATCTGTTATAAGAATATAAGCCGAGAATGTCGTTATGGTAGCCTGAAAAAACGTATAAGTAAAGTAATATTAAAAATATGCCCCTTAGAATTCTACCAAAATCGGTGTCAATGGCACAAGAACTTCTAAGATTGAATTAATAATCGCTTTTTTTCTAACATATTCAAGTTCTTTCTCTCGAATATGACTTATAGAACGAATAAATGCCATTTCCCATCCATACAATTTTAATATTCGAATTCCATTAAGTATTTCACTCATCATTTTAATCCTTTGGTCTTTTATTACCATTTGTTTGGCCTAATTAAATGATAATTTCAAAAACTTATTTGATATGATTTTTGCATACTGTAAGCCTTCTTTGAATTAGCCGTAAATATAAATTTACTGGAATCAAAATGAATAGTAGTGTAACACCAGGAATCATTGCAAAGTTGATTTGTTGATAGAGTAAAATTAATATGACTACAAGTTGAAGAGGAGCTATAAAATAAATGTTACGATGTAGATATAACGAATAAAATCCAAGCGAATAACAGAGTTAAAATAGAACTGAGTTTTGCGGATTCGCTTCAGTCTCTGATCTAATAAAAAAACTGCGACTATTCATAAAAGATTTACTTTTTCTTTAATCGAGTAATGAGAGAGAAGATGAGTTTCTTGTAACCCCCCCCCCCCCTCCCCAGGAAAAAAATTGTATGAAATACCGTTGTAACGCACTTTTTTGAAAGAAACGCAGTTCTAGCGCTTTAACGCATTGTTCACACACATAACTCGCCTAAACGCATTCTTGATATTAATAACGCTTTTTAACATAATGCTCTTTGCTTGTGACGCGTTTTTTCAAAATAAATTGTGACTTCGAGTGAGCGTTTGAATGCGCTTTGCCCAATGCATTTCGATGTGTTTTTTATCATTCATCAAGACGCGCGCCTCAAAGCCTTCTAGTGCAAAAATACGAGATTTTGGGAACGCGCTTAAACGGTTTATTTTACAATGCGTTTTTCTAAGGAAAAATGTGAATTTTTTAAACGCGTTGAAACGCACTTCTTTTTACAGCATTTTTTCTCAATAAATCGCATATTTTAAAAACGCGTTGACTCCCTTTTGCCTTTAATTCATTTTCTCTTCAAGAACACTGCTTTCTTGGAAACATATTTTAATCAATGTTCGTAGCCGTACAGTTTCATTAAATTTATGCTACTAGAAAATGGAAATATTTTTGATCTGAGGTGCTGTGATGCGCTATCAAACCTCATAAGCATATAATAAAAGATTCTAGTCTTGAGATAACCTTCGTTTCATAAATAAAGAAAAGAAGTCGAATAGCGTTTATAAAGAAAGGACCCATTTATTTGAAAAAGCCAACAATAAATATAGCTTAGAACATTTTCTCTGACCAGACTCAGTTAGCGTTGGATAGCGAACAAAATAATATTTGTTCCGGGTGTGGGTGTGTCTTTCTAACTCCATTCACACCCATACTCAGAATCCACGCTAACACCCACACCCTGGTCAATCTAGAAAAACAAGAAGAAAATTTTCATTATTATCGTTGAAGTATCATTTTTAGCAAAATGGTGTTTGCAAGAGTTCATGATAAGTTAACTTCTATACAGCTACTGCGGTAGCATTGATCCAATACAATGAGCATAAAAGGTATGTTTATCGTCTTTTTATATTCTTTTCAAACAATAGTTTATTTTCCTTTTCGATATCGACTAAATGTATAGCCCGTCTAGAAATGTTAGATACTTTCACTCTAATTAAAAATGTGTCGTATTTATATGTCGTGAATTATTGTGTCGTAGATTGGACGGAAAAAGAAAGAAAGGAAGAATGTAGAAAGGAAAACATCGAAGAAAAATGTGCAGTAATATCGACTAGAAAAATACAGAACGGAAAAATGACGAAAGATGAAACGTCGAACGCTAAAAGAACGAACAGAAAAATATCGAATGTGATGATAGAGCAGAAAATTTTGTTACAAGAGGTCGCTTGGTTGCCTCGATTGAAATGCATCTTCTGTGGTTGGCTGACACTAATATCTATAGTATATATTGTTACGATAAATACTGATATACGCTACTTATGTAATGAACAATCAAGCATAATAGTTGTTCGATTTTAAAGCATGCTATGTCGTCTAGGAACCGTCCTAGACAGTCTAAATATGATTCAGATGTAACACATATGAAGTGTGTTTATGCTGATTTTGATGAGTTCTATTTCTAGTTCTATATCGTTTATTGTTTCGCAAAAAGGAAAACCTATGCTAGTGATGGACGACTTTGTGTTTAAATTGAATAAAACTACAAACACTACTAAATACTATCGGTGTGAAGATTCAAAATGCTCTATGACTTTACGCACAGATATAAATGATGCTTTGATTGGTACTCAAGGCGATCATAATCATCCACCAGAACCTGAGCATATAGACCTTCGAAAGCTGAAGCACGCTATGAAAGAACGTGCAGTAAAAGAAATAACTCCAATCCCGCGAATATATGATGATGAAGTATCAAATTTTTGTTTGACAACTTTAGCTATTGCTATTCTTTCTGCAGAGAGAGCAAAAAGTAATTGAATATCTATTTTTTGTCTTACTGTAATAATTTTGTGAGACACGATCTAAAAGTAGTGTTGAAGTGTATAGGGTAGAAATTTTGCACCCCCCCTCCCCTCACAGACCGTGACAGACATCTTAATTAATTAATTAATTAATGTTTAATTAACTAATTAACCGTCACAGACCGTGACAGACAGGTTTTAGACCCATCGCAGACCGCGACAAACAGGCTCTAGACCCATCACAGACCGTGACAGAGAAACTATCGTTCTAAACCATCAGGTAAAAGGTTCGCTACAAATGGATTGCAAAGAAATGGAACAAAACGATTTCCATTTAATTAGTAGCAGCAGATCCATCGTGTTTCACATTTTTAATCCCACAAGGGATTGCGCTAACAGCTCTTTTTACAGATAGCTCTTTGAATAAACCAAGACGGCTGAAGACACCTATGCTGCCTGATTCTCAAGTTTTTGATATTCCCGATGCATATTCAAGAACTCTGAAAGATGAATCATTTTTGTGTGTCGATAAGTTTATTAAAAAAAAACTCGTATCTTGTTATTTGCATCACGGGAACAGTTGAAGTTGTTATTCGAAAGCACCACTATCTTAATGGATGGTACTTTCAGTGCCTCACCATCATTATTCGAACAAGTTTATTGCTTACATGCCATTAAACATCAGCAATGTAAATGTAACTGTGTCTTGCTAAAAACAAATTATAAGTCTCATTATTTTTAGGCTTCGTGTGTGCTTTTGGTCTTCTTCCAGATAAAAAGAAATCAAAATATAGATTTTTACTGCATGAATTACAACTCATTGCCACTGAAATGAATATGAATTTTAATCCTAGTACTATTATAACAGATTTTGAGCCTGCTTTAGTCGAGGTTCTAGCTAGCGAAGTACAAGCTACGTTTTTTATTTTGATAGATATTCTAATCTTTGTTTTCTTCAGTTTCCAAGTTGTAGGCACACAGGATGCTACTTTCATTTTACGCAGGCGATTTACCGTCATATTCAGTCTGTCGGTCTATCGAGCGAGTATAGTAAGAATGAAGATATTCGTATGATTTGTAGGAAGCTAATGGCTTTACCTCTTTCGCCTCTGCCTTTGGTGGTCTCAGCCTTTGATGATATGTTTGATTCATTGATTGAAGTACAACTGGAGAAAAATGATCTATTGAAGCATTTATTCGATTATTTCGAACATCAATGGATTAAAAATGTTGATTTGAAACTTTGGAATGTATATGGGCTGGAGATGCGAACAAACAACAATGCTGAAGGCCTCTGCATTTATTCGATATATTAAATATTTTAATCATAACTTCACATTTCTAGGTTTTCACAATCGGTTAAATTCAAGATTATCAAAATGTCATCCCAATATATGGGCTTTTATTAAATGCATTCAAGGAGAGGAAAATCGATTTCATTGCTTAATGATTCAAATAAAAGGTGATATTTCAGCTCGACCAAAAACTAGTAAAGCAAATGCTATACAACAAAGACTCAATACTATATAATCGCGCTATGAAAGTGGCGATATTGGTGCTAATGAATTACTCGAAGGATTATCTTTTCTTGTGGCTAAAAATATAGCATTAAAAAGAAAATAATTTGCTATACATCACTTTTGATCGAACTCTATTTCAAAAACATTTAAGTCATGCATATCTTTTTTTCTTAATAAGCTTTCGACATAAAACATCATATTCATAAAGATCAATTGTTCTCTATTAGATATTTCTCTCTTCGACATTTATTCCTTCAATATTTTTCCTTTCTACATTCTCTTTCTATATTCTTCCTTTCTATATTTTTCTTTTCTTCCCTTTTCCATCATACCGTGTCGTAGACTGAATGACGAAAATGTGTAGTACTTGGAATGTGTCGTATATATTTTTCTTTCGTTCTGTCGACAGTCTATTCATTCACCCTTTTGTTTTGAACAAATTGATGTATATAGATAACATAGCTGAACACATGAAGTTTATATTTTTTCAAATAACTTCTTTTTCAGAATATTTCTCGATCATCTATTATTATTCGAGAAAATTCCACTCTTGGTCAATGAACAAGAGAGGACCACCATCAAGGGTGTGTTGAAGACCGGACTACCTTGAGACGGAAGCGGTCTCAAGATCTGGCTTGTTCGAGTCTTTTTAGAATAAAAATAAATAAATGAAGTAAAATTTAAAAACTCTCTACAGAAGAATTCAATATGCATCGTAGGATAGATTCGAACCATGTTTTCGGAATTTGTCGGATGTGTCGTACGCAAATGTGTCGTATTGTTGCTGAGCAAAATGTGTCGTAACAAGCACCTCGTGTCGGACTCAAATGTGTCGTGGATTGTGTCGTAAATCACGACACATCCGACACATTAAAAGTTAGAGTGTTGTTCTTTATCGAACTTATAATCACCAGTCTTTTCAGAAATTGTTCGAGTTTCGTTTGAACAGTATGCAATATATTTATTCCTTTCACTTATAGACCAACAAGATATTAATAGTGCCACCGAAAAAATGCTAAGTAACATATTTTTGAACTTTTCTATTTATTTTGCACGATCTCCTCATTTTCGAAATGCTTCTGGGTATTTGAACAGAGATACGACAGGTGTAATCAGACGCGAATAGTAGTTTCAAACAATAGTCTATTTTTAACAATAAAAATTCTTTTT